TGTCCTCTGACTGTCCTCTTCTCTCCAATCAGATGCCTGTCAGCTCACACTGGACCCCAACACAGCGCACAGACACCTCCGTCTGTCTGAGGGGAACAGGAGGGTGACCTGGAGCAGGGAGCCCCAGCAGTACCCCGATCACCCCGAGAGATTCGACCACTGGCAGCAGGTGCTGTGCAGAGAGGGGCTGTCCGGGACTCGCTGTTACTGGGAGGTGGAGTGGAGTGGGATAGGGGGGTTCATAGGCGTCGCTTATAAGGGGATCACCAGGAAAGGGGAGGCCAAAGATGGCGTCTTTGGGGGCAACGACCAGTCGTGGAGTCTGGTGAGCTCTGGCCTCAGCTGCTCCTTCTGGCACAGCAGGAAGGGGGCTACGATAACGGGCCCTCTGGCCCCCAGGATCGGGGTGTATGTGGACCACAGGGCTGGAACTCTGTCCTTTTACAGCGTCTCTGGAGACACAGCGACCCTCCTGCACAGAGTCCAGGCCTCCTTCACGGAGCCCCTCTATCCCGGGTTCGGGATTGGACTGAACACGACAGTGGGCCTGTGCCGACTGGATCGGCCCCTTTGGTCCTGATGCAGGGCACCCCCTGGGCCTGGGCGGAGAAACCGGTGAGCGTGGTGCGACCTCGGGCCTCTTGAAGACCAGATCCTCTCGGTTCTGCGGGTTTCAGCTGATCAGGACTTCGGCTGGCACACGTTGGCCCGGATGGTTTTTCAATTGAACAGCTTTGCAGCTACAGGAGGGCTGGTGAGGTATGACATCATAATGCCAATCGTGCTGCTTATTCCTCTACTGTACTGGACACTGGAGCTCTGAGCACAGGGAAGCTGTTTACTTTAAAGCTGGACTCCTCTACTGTACTGGACACTGATCACACAGGAGAGAGTGTTTAATCTACTGTACTGGACACTGATCACACAGGAGAGAGTGTTTAATCTACAGCCGGACACTGATCACACAGGAGAGAGTGTTTAATCTACAGCTGGACACTGATCACACAGGAGAGAGTGTTTAATCTACAGCTGGACACTGATCACACAGGAGAGAGTGCTTAATCTACAGCCGGACTCCTCTACTGTACTGGACACTGTGCAGCCCTATAATCCCATCTAAAAGAATGCTTTATTTACATAGTGAGCTGTTGAAGGTGTAGTAAGTTACTAAATGCTTCTGATATTTTAAATAAAATCATGTAAGGCTCTTCCACGAGGTTTGTGACTCGTGCTTTTTGCTCCTGTCCCTGCTGCGTGGAAGGCCACCAGCGAAACGCTGAGCGCACACACAGATGGCCCACTGGAGACCAGGGACTGGGAGCAGAGACACAAGCCCCCATCGTCACAGAGCCAATCGGAAAGGGACATGCAGGAAGTTCAAGTTCTAACGAGCCGCTGTCCTGGTCTGGGTCCGGTTTCCGGTGGGGGGGTGTCTGCTGATCGGCACCGTCATCTTCACTGGGGGGGGGTCATAATTAGCCTTCTCGTTAGCCCGGGTGTAGCGAGGCTGGTTAGACTCCAGTGCCACAGTGACCTGAGGAGAGAAGGAGGAAGAAGCAACAGAGACAAAGATTAATAGAAGAATATTTGTTTGTCACTGAACTATAGATTTAGCTACATTGTATTGATGATTGATTACGGGTTCTTGGACAGTGGTTAGATGATCTCCCTGTGGCTGATGAGCTTTCCCTGACAGTCCCACTGCGAGCTCTATTTAATATGAATATCCATCTCCTTTCTTCTCGCGTTCAAAGAGCGACAATGGCCAAACGAGAAGGTGGCGGGTCAGACGAGGTGGAGGCTCTTGTCAGAACTACATTCCCCAGAAGGCTTTGGGGGGG